TGAAAATAAACAAATAAAATTCTTAGAATCCACTTTCAAAGGAAGACAACTTTCTTACAGCCAATGGAAATCAAATCAGGCAGCTTTTGCTGTAATAAAAATGTTATTTGGTGGGCTAGATAGGGTTTGTCAAAAAGGCACATTGTGTATTTTGCTTTCTCATAGGATGTATGTACTGGAGATGATTTTCCAGATTGTCTAATGTAACTCCTGTTGTTCATTCAGAAAATCACCAAACTATTCTTGGCAGCAACCATCCAGAATTCTTTGGGTCAGATCATGCCATATTTGTCAAATTTTAAAACTGATGAATATTCAAACATCTAATATTTAAGAATTATTGTGTAAAAGATGTCTCACAGGAGCAAGTAAACTTTGTAAATACAAAAAAAGTTAAAATATCACTCATAAATATGACAGAATGCAAAGTAATAATTTTAACTCACAGTACTTTCCTATATAACAAGGGTATCAAACTCGATTTCATTGAAAGCTGCATCAGGGTTGTGTTTGACCTCGAGGAGTTGGGGTGGGGATGGCTAGGGTGGGCATGGCAACTCATCATCACTCATGTCAGGGCTCCTGTGTTGGCCCAAGTGCTCTGCAGCGAAAATGGGCTCCGTTTCCGGCTGTGACATCCTCTTGCAACTGTTTTCACCAGCAGAAGCACTGCGGACTGGTCCTTTGCTGTTTCCGGGGCAGCCCCATGGGCCAGATATAAGCACCCTGTGAGCCAAGTCCGGCCTGCGGGCCTTAAGTTTGGCACCTTTGCTATATAACTTGCTTGGAAAACTTTTCCCACAATTGAAGAATATACAGCCTAAGCAGGTTCTTCTTAAATTTTCCTTTGGTAGAAGAATGCCACTGAAATATTGATTCTAATAATCACAGTGGAATTTGCATGAATCAAACGTATTGTTTCCATTTCTAATACATTTTAAGTTCTGCCAATTTTACTTAAAGGACTTTGAAGATATTTTACACTTACTCAACAACTGAATAAGTGAGGCAGCGAAAACCAAGTTTATTCCAACACAAACTTTAATGGATTTTCAAATCACTTGAATATTTATAATCTAAGATTATAAGATTAAACAAGGTAATGAGTCTGTTTCCCCAGGCAAACAGAGAAATTGAACTGCTATTAAGCACATTATTTAGTAGTTTTATTTTATTCTAAGAAGCCTCCTCTTAGCTGATTATACGAAATCATGACTGAGATCATATACAGCTGGTTTCTACAGAGAAAATTCAATCATCACAGCTCATGGCTTCTTCCAAGGAAGAACATATTGAAATAAGGATATAAAACAAAAACCTGATACTCTTGTGTAAAAGAGTAGGGTACACCTGTGTAAAATTGCAAATGATTAAAGCCATAAATCAGTTGGCTCACAAGTGTTCCAGGTTTTTATTTCCAAAATATAAATAACTCTATGGGATCTGGAATAAGGCACGATGAAACTCCTTCTTTGCAGTACATTCCAGAGTCCATGAACATATTTTATGGGAAATCACAAATTGTAATTTTGAAAACAACTGATGAAAAGGAATATTTGAAGAGATTGCATGATGGAATAATACTGTTTCCCAGGCCTGTGCAGTACCCAAGAGAGTTGGAAAGGAAAATCCAAACCATTTTAATTACTATCTTATAAAAGCAATGTTATAAGAAACTTAGAAATAGGGGCCTTAAGGCACTGTTTTTGCAACACTTAGAAGGAAGCAAAGTTAAAAGAAAAACTACACACACACACACAATTTACTTTAGATAAAATGCAGTGGAATTTATATGGTAATTTAAAAGTTGTTTTCTTTTTCTCTCCCATACAGAGTTTCTCTTGCCAATCCATTTGGCTACCATCTGTCATGTTAAAACAGGATCCCTGATACCATGGTCAGGATTGCAGGTAAAGGAAATGGTGATGGCATAGCGAGTGCCCCAGTGGACCTTCTCAACATGATGGAGATTTTCCGAGCCAGATGTGAAAAACGAAACCCGTCCTGCAAAACAAGAATCTACAGTCAGGAACTGAGCAAAATCATTTACCTGATTGCCGATACCTAGGATTCTGTAATTAGCTACTCAGCTTCAATCATCCAAGATTTGGTAGTTACCTAATGGTAAAGCTACCCTGTTCCCAGATCAAAATATCTTTATGCACTTAACAAGATTTGAGAAAGCCTGTTTTTTTTTTAATATGTACATTCTTAGTTCCACAATTATTAAAAGAAAGGCTTCAGCAAGGGAGCAAAGAAGAAAGAAAGAAAATCTTTGAACATAGTCTTAAGTGAACAGGACTTCTGATTAGGGTTGTGCACAGCTTTGGTTTTGAAGAAGAAAAAGTAACCCCTATCAACAACTCCTTAAACCAAGTTTTAAAGTTTTATCCTGGAATCAACCACTATAGATGGGGATTCTGGGAAAACACCCAACTCATTTAAAAAGATGCAAATTAGTGCTAAATAGAACACACCAAGCATTTTTTTCCATATGAATGAAGGTTATGAATGAAGGAATGAAATATTATCCCAGGATAATGTTGTCAGTCCAATCTGGGCCAGTCACCAGGACCAAGGTTTTGTCTTCCAAGCTTTCAGACTCATCCTGGAGCCCATCTTCAGGAAACTACTCTCTAGCAGAGTGTGTGTGCTGTTCTGTATGTGGTATTTATAGTGCCTGTTGTAAGTGGCTTTTTAGATGTTAATTGGGGTGTGTTGATGGCTGGCCTTTAAGTCATTAGCTGTCACTTGCTTGCGCTGCCCAGCCCTCGCCTTCTAAGTACCTGACAGGATGGTGGTAAATCAGCACTCTTGTTGACTGACAAGGGGCTTGTTTCTGAGGCTTCAATCACTTCCCTGGCTGTTTTTGTGCCTGTTCATCCAACAATCTTAGTAGCTGAAAAATTGAATGTGTCTCCTTGTCATTGCAGCATGAGGCTACCAATAAATTCAGGTCTTCTTGTCTGACTGCTTGTTTGTATTCTTACAATCTGGTGGTTAGTTTCCTCCACCAGATGGGCTCCAGCACCACTCTAGAAGCTCGGAAGACAAAACCTCTGGTCCAAGTTGGATCCTGCATTTTTTTTTCATGTACAATCTGAAGGGCTGCATAACTTTCCCTTGATTCAACTTTCCCTTGATTCAGTGCTTTTTCTAGAATAAAGCCTTCTGGAAGAGATCTGGTTTATCTATTTTCTTAGATTCTGCACTAAAACTACCCAACATATACCCAACATTTAGCATGTAAAGAATTTTAACACCTCATATTAAAATGGATTACTAGTCTATTTGTGTGGGCTATGTGACATGCTTGGACTGCTTGCTTATGTATTGAGCACTACACTGGTGCAATCAACAATTCAGGTATTTTGGGGAAGGAAAATGCTAGCTACGACAGCTCTGTCTTTCAAGCCACCACCCTTTTAACTCCCAACCACCTCCTACTCTTATATAAAATCATCACATTATGAAAAAGAAATGCCATGTCTGTTACCAGAATAGAAACCAGAATTCCAATCACTTAAATTTCTGATTGTGCAACTTCTCAATGGTTGGAGTAAATGTGATACTGAACAGCAGTTTCACATTACAATATTGAATTGGACTTACAGGTGAACATTATCTTTTACTTTAGTTGCCCAACTTTCACAAATGGTCTTTCCAGAATAGAAGAAACAGCGGTTATTTTCACTCTCCTGCAAGGTTCAATGAATGGCTTTCAAGAAACCATACAGATTTACAATGCAAAAAAGAAAAAGAAAAAAGGGCAGAGGCATTGTAAGTGAGCCTCTGCAAGGAAGATGTACAACTTCTGCCAGCTCAAGGGTTGCAATTCAAAAGTGATGGGATCACTTCTATTTATTGTATCATTGTGGGGAGACTTATAACAACAACATTATAACCATAGTAAAAGAGACACCTTTTTATTCATGAAATGACTGCTTTTAAAAAAAGGCAAAAATAAGATAATTCTGACTGTTTTCCCCCATTTCCATTAGCAAAAAGGGAGGTCTCAATATCATAGTTCTCCCTACTAAAGAACGTATAGCTTTTATTTAGGGAAGTTGGATTGGAGGGGTTGGGAAGGATGGACAGAGGTAGACAAAGCATGTGAGAAGGGTTAGAAAAGAAGCAGAAAGGTAATAAGTAGAAATGGCTGGGAAAGCAGGGGAAGCAGCAGCTACATACGGACTGAAATGGCTGGAAGGAACAGAAATCTAATCCTCATCCTCATCTTCATCATAGAAGGATTTTTGTTGTTTTAAATTAACAACTACTTAAACTGATGAACAATTGAGGGAATTAGGTGTGTCTAAGGAAGAGAAGGATTAGGGGTGACATGATAGCAATCTTCCAATATTTGAGGGACTGACACAGAGAAGAGGGGGTGAACTTATTCTCCAAAGCCCTGAGGAAACGACAAGAAGTAACAAATGGCACCTTTCATGGAGACATCCAACCTAGAGTCAAGAAGAAATTTCCTTTTAGAGAAAACAAATAATCAGTGGAATGGCTTCCCTCCAGAAGTTGTGGGTGCTCCATCACTGGAGGTTTTCAGGAACAGACTGGACAGCCATTTATCTGGAACTAGCTGAATATCCGTGCTCCACTACAAAACTATGTGATTGGGCTTGATAAATCGACACTTACAGCTTGAAAATTAATGTAGTTACCATCAACCTCCCCTCTCCCCTCTCTCCCTCAGACTTGCCCCACAGAAGCCTCCCCTATCCTATCCCCTTCTCTCCCTCAGATTTGTCTAACGTCTAACTCTAAGTATCACAGCCTGTTAATAATAATATACGAAATAATAATGCTCCGATAGTCATTTTGAAAAATCCTTTGTTACCAAGCACCTAGAAGCCAAGAGGAACATACGTGCCAAATTTCAAGTTTGTAAATTTCAAGTTTACAGTTCTGGAGATTTCGTGATTCCTGTATGAGTGTTTTCATGTTTATATATATAGGTGGTATAAGGCCTCTTGAACAGGGGATTAGAAGACTTCCAAGGTTCTTGTAATCCTGCTCTTCTACGTTCTAAATTAACGACTTGTAAGAAGTAACACCACTGCAGTGCAAAATTTTTCAGAACTTGCCATCTCTAAACATATAGTTTCCTAAAACAACAAACTACAGACAGAACCAAGAAGGGATCTTATTTTCTGAGTTGCTGAGAACATGTCACTAGTAAGAGAACTCCTTGAAAAAGATGTATGTATTATCAAAGCCTCTATTGAAAATCATGATGTCCATGATGATTTCACCCATAAGGGGCTTCAAGGATACAGACAGTCCTTGACGTATGACCACAATGGAACCCAATTTTGCTGTTGCTAAGAAAGACATTTATTAAGCAAACTTTGCCTCATTTTACAACCTTTCTTGCCACAGATGTTAAGTGAATCACGGCAGTTGTTAAGTTAATAACACAGTGGTTAGTTGAATCTGGCTTTCCAATTGCCTTTGCCTGTCAGGAGGTCACAAAAGGTGATCACAGGATTCCGGTACACTGCAACCGTCATAAATATGAGTCAGTTGCCAAGCACCCAAATTTTGATGACAGTGAAGATTCAGCAATGGTCATAAGTATGAAAAAACATTATGTCACTTTTTTCAGTGGCGTTGTAACTTCAAATAGTCACTAAATGAATCATTGTAAGTAGAGGACCCCCGGTACTGAGAGTCTGGAATGAGCCTAAAAGACAAACAGGCATCCTGTCTCTTGATGAGAAAAACTCACTCTCTTGATACAAAGGTCTGGAGAAGAAAAAACTATTAAATAATGAAGATTACTTTGCCAGACCTGATATTACCAACTCCCCTTCCAATTTAATTACACATAATCTTTCTAGGTAACTTAAGGCACACCTCTTCTACCCTGTTTGAACTATTTGTTGGTTTTCCAAAAGGAGTTCCTTTACAATGGTGGAATTATTTCCTGTTGCTACAGGACCAAGCCAGTAGTAAAAAATAATAATTTGGAAGCAAGTGGCTAACAAGACTGAGAAAGCTATACATTTGCCTATAATTTTGCATCAGTAAGCTAGTAACCTCAACGGTTTTGAAGGAGGAAGAGGGCTTTATGCCCCAACGGCAGATAAAGCAGTAGAACCATCTTCTAGGACCGTGATGGTAAACCTATGGCACGTGTGCACAGGTGGCACACGGAGCCATTTGTCAGGGCATGCAAGGCGTTGCCCTGTCTGCTCTAGCTGACTTCGGCCTTCTTTTGAGGCCACTTTTCACCCTTGACATACTTCCGGTTTGCTCGTAGGGCTGGTTTTAGCCCTCTGGAGTATTCAGGGAAGTCTGTTCCTGAACTTCTGGTTTGCCCATAGGGCCGGCTTTTCATGCTTTGGAGGCTTCAGGGAAGCTCTTGAAGCTTCCGGAAGGCCTCGGGGGGAGGGGGGCTGTTTTCACCTTCCCCAGGCTTCTATAAAGCCTCTGGGAAGGGTGAAAAAAGCATGCCAAAAACGGGTGGGTGAGCGCTGGTCATGTGTGCATGCGCACTGGGGTCATGTGCATAGCATGGGTGTGGCACGCCTGTGCACAACCCCCCTGCGCTCCCCCTGCTTTTGGCACGCGAGCCAAAAAAGGTTTATCATAACTGTTCTAGGAGAAGGGAAACTCTGATTACAAACCTCCACTGCCTTGTGGCTATATCCATTACTGCAAAAGGCTTCAGGACTCAACTTCGAGGAAAAATCCTGAGCCAGAGTCCCGGAAGCAGTTCGTGATTGTGTACAAGCACATTCTGGTAACTTCTGTGATGCAGCTGGAGCCAAATGAATTGGCTCTGCAGTCCCATTGGACGATTTCAGCAATGTGGAGAGGGAGGGATCTGCTGCTTGGTTAACAGTCTATCGTCCATATTAATCTATCTAGACCTCGTGCTCTGGAGAGGACACTCCAGCTTTACCTTTTTTCCAGAGTACCATAGTCTTTTGAGACTGAAGGATGCCAATGCAAGCTAGTAATTAATGAACTGCGATCTCAGCAGG